TTATCTCTGGTAAAAAAACACAGAAAAACCAAAAATATCAATTGAATCCTACCGTCTAGGTAAACGACGAATAACAGCATCATCAAGGTCAAATGGCCGGTTTGTTGCACCAAGAATGAGAATTTGTTGACTATCTTTTGTCCTCAAGCCATCCCATGCAGACATAAATTCATTACGCATTCTTCGAGTTGCCTCATGCTCAGACGCACCGCCACGAGCACCAAGTAAGCTGTCAACCTACATGTGCATGCAACAAAACCCAGACAGCAATAACAGATCAGCAATGCAAAAAAAACAAAATGTACATGATTTCTTACAGCAATAGCCTCTTATTAAGACGTTTTTAATAGCAAAGGCTTACCTCATCAATGAAGATGATTACCGGTGCCAGTCTGCTAGCAAAAGAGAACAGAGCTTTAGTTAGCTTCTCAGCATCTCCAAACCACTGCAGATGAAAATCAAACAGAGATAAATACCAACCTTACTAAGCAAAAGTAGCATTTGCAGGAATCAACCATAAGTGAAACTCTGTGCACACTTATGTCTTGTTTTACTGCTAAGAAACTTCTTTTACATTTAGCATTTAACAAGAAATCACATGTTACACCTAGTAGCCCCCACTAATTGATTGAATGTCGAAATATAGGAAAAACTATTATAAACCAGTAATAGACCTAGGGGATTACGTACCAGACTGGATCCAGGAGATGAACCAGTTTGATAAAGACAACCTCAACTAATCATCTGGTCTCTAATTCGGCTAAATACAACAACTAAGCCTTACGCCAATTAGGGGAATAGTATTACACTATTAGGACAAGGAGAGAGACTTGAACATGGAGTTTAAATAAAGGCATGCAAGTCGTATATTTGGTTGTTTAAAAAATGGTACACCTCAACCTCATTAACGCAATCACCTCTAGCCTCAGAGCTTCCTCTCAAAAAATAGGCCCTGATGCACGCTTCAAGGCGGAATGCCTAATCGAACACTCTCCCTACCACACCCGTAACATATACTTACAGGCTAAACAACCATGAGTTGTGATTAATATTCCAACATAGCCACATAGTCAAGGAGAATTCCAACGTAGTCCCTTTTAATTCCTCGGTTCACATGGAGTAAATACTAGACAGGCATGCAATTAACTCCAACTAGAGTAGTGATAGGGTTAAAGTATTAATTATCTTAGTTGACAGTTGACCCTATTAATTATCTCATTTTTAGTTACTTGACAGTTGACCTTATATTCCACGCACCGACCTCAACTTAGTTGATATAAAGGAAACAGTGATAACAAAAACTAAGGCTTATTATGACAGATAATGATGGCTCTTTCAATATCCCTTCTTTCTTTCTTTCTATGAAGTTTTGGGAAGCAAATGCAGCGATGCAACACGGGTCTAAGTGTCTAACAGAAACAGCCTCTACGTTTTTTACAAAGGTTAAGGTTGCACACATCTTGACCCCCCAACCGCAGCAGAGTTGGGACTATACTGGGCTTGATGTTGTATTCAAAGATCACCAACCTATATTTAATTACCTTTTGATTGATCATTTGATTGTATGTAAACTTCACTTCCTGTGTGACTGAGTAACTGACTGGAAATATTTTTCAAATTTTCTTGTTTTTTGGACAAGAAAACTTTTGTATTCATTATTCCTCCAAGGCTCCAAGTTTCTAACATTAGTTATTTATTACTCAGCAGCCCACCACCTCAACTACAGTCGTAATTTTAAACTTATTAAAAGCCGCATGTGGTAAAATAAAGTAGACAATTTTAATAGGCAGCATGGGAAAATTTACCTTAGACGTAAGTGATGAACCAGTAACATTCAAAAAATTTGCCCCAGCCTCTGTTGCAAGTGCTTTTGCAATAAGGGTTTTCCCAGTGCCAGGTGGCCCAAATAGTAACACACCTTTGCAAGGCTGAAATAAAACAATCGTTTTTTACTGAAGTACCATAATATTATCAGGTAGTGGTGATTACCAAAAGTGACATACCCGCAACAGATTGCCACGTGAGAAAAGCTCTGGTCTCCGCATAGGCAGAATGACAAGTTCATTCAACGCCTTTTTCACATCTTCAAGGGCACCAACATCGCCAAACCTCACTCCTCTCTCACCAGGAGGAACAACTGCTGAAATAAAGTTACGCTCATACTCATTCTTCGCAAGACTCTACAAAACGTAGAGGTGTAATGTGTTAAAGCAAGCAACAACCAAACCTGGGATCTTCATATAAAAGAAACTTGTTTCTATTCTTCAAAAGTGTAAATCAAACCTTCAGACCATGTGAAGGCTTTTTTGACATCGCTTCCTGTTCTTTTAATCTCAAAATTGCAACTTCAAGGCTTAAACCGCAAGGAGAAGCAATTCACCTTAGAGTTAGTTGTGAGAGGAAAATTCAGATACTCAAACATACATTAAGGTACCTTTCGCGAGGCAAGTACATCCTATCTCCCTTTATGTAAGGTTCTTTGCAAGATGACAAATAATGATTTTTCGCCCAGCCCACAACTGTTTCTGCTTCTGAAGAATGAAAGAGGGTCATTAGGAACCAAATTTTAGTACACTTTCCAGCAATCCAAAATCCAAATAAGCCAATGCTTCCAGATTCTTGATGACACCAGTTAGATCAAAATTAAGAAAAAGGAAACCCAGTTTTTTCATACCAACCAGCATTTGTCACATGTATACATTGACACATTCAAATTTACTTCCAGTATTTCATTCTAATACATTTGTCATGGGCATCAAATATGATTCTAGAAGTTCTAATACATTTGTCACGGGCTTGCCAAAGCTTTCCCTTCATGAGAAGGGATTTGGACTTTTAGAAGTTCTAGTAACATGTCAAAATGTGGTTAGAATGGAAACTTTAGAAGTACCAATTTAGAAGAACTAACAAAAACTAACCTTCGAACATACCAAAAAACTAGGGATGGAACTAACCACCTTGCCTATATGGCCTGTCAACAATCTACTTCATTAGTGGAGAAAGCAACACTATTTATTTTATGCAATATAATTTGTCAATTTGTGTCTAAATAAAAGAATTTTATTTATTATCATGATTGGGCTAGCTCAAGGATAGACACTAAGCTCATCCTTCTTCGCAAATGTCATAGCTAAATAACTACATCTCATGTTTAAAATAGGGGAGATGGTAAAATGTAACTTAAGAAAGATCGTTAGTTCATGTTCAACCCATAGAGATCAGTTCTGCAGCTCACAAATTACATTTTCTTGTATTTTCAAAGAGTGTACCCATCACTAGAAATGATCAAGAATAAAGGTGTGTATAGTATTAATAAAAGATTTTAGTGACATGTGAGTCTTTCAAAATCGTATCAGAGCCGCCGGCCTTGAGCTTAGGGATGTCAGTGGGGAGAACAAAGATGGATACCACCCCATACCTGACCTAGTTGGAGTGGGTATCCCAGGTACTTGTGTGGTGAATGAGGTAGGCATGGGTGTAGAAATTATATTATCACAAGTTACTAGGGCGGTGGTGGATGTGTCTCTATCGGATGGGCACTCACATGCCTAATACTGCCTCATGACCCGTAATTTATTGTTGTCACAGCGCCAACGCAAGGCCCAACACAAGTCTACCAATTATAGAATCGTCGGGACTACCTTAAGGGAACACATATTGTGGTCTCTGCAACAACAATGATTGCTAGGGTTATAGATCCAAGATTTGGAGCACTAGATAGAGAAACTAGGCTAGGGGACTGACCTAGGCATCTTTTGGCAACCCAGGCATCCCTATGGCGATGCCAGACTTGACATGGAAAAAAGACGAGGGAAGGTTCCATGGCGTGGGTTCAGGACGCCAAGTCCTCACCTGGGCAACACCGTGAGTCCGTGACAATTATGCCACAACTATTAATTAATAATATATATAAAAACGATACAAATTAAACCAAGACATACATTTCCATAATAAATCTAAAAGAGAATCATAGGGCCACCAAATTGCCTCAATTTCATAATACCCAGCCTTGTCAAAAGAACCGTTGTGTTCTAAGATCTAAAAACAATTTTTATTAGTTAGAAACTTAAAGATAAACTCGAGTAAATAATTTAAAAAATAAATGAAATGAATTGGTCGCATGAAAAATAAAACAAAAACACAAGAACAAAAACAACCCATCAAAATTTCATATCTAGGTTACCATGAGGTGCAGGTGAGGCGGCTTAATTCACCACCAACAACAACCCAGTAGAATCCCACAAAAGCAAGGTTTGGGGAGGGTGTGTGTACGCAAACCTTACCCCACTAAAAGTAGAGACGTTGTTTCCAAGAGGCGGCTTAAATCACCAAAAAAGGAAATGAAACCAGAGAGCCAATGTTCGAAAAGGCGTATTGTAGCATACATAAGGCATTTTCAAGGGCATAAGCTTCAAGGCGTATTGAGATGCCTCAATCTTTAAGTTCCATTAAAGACTTCAAGGAAGCTTATAATCACATTAGAAAATGCATCAACAAAATCTAGCATGACATGATAAGTTTAAAGAAGGTTGATGAATGCAAAAACAAGGTTTAAAAGCAACATGGTCTTAATATTGCATCAAAACGATTAGCTTAGATTGATGAATGCAATAAAAAAAGGTCGTCACTATGTAAGACCCTCTAACGGCTACAACAAGACATGAAGGAAGAAGATGTTATCAACTAGGTATAGTCAATATGTGGTACCTAATTTGACATACATAGCCCTAAAATAAAAATTTAAAAACTGAAAAAGATGAGGCTTACACCTTAGATTCTCCTCAGTACCTACACATTGAGGCTCTTAACCAAAAAGACATTAATTCGTCCATGGTGCATAGGGAAAAAGACGGTGCTTCCCAAAACTTTGGAGAATAGCTAAGGCATTCCATGAAGTGAAAACATACCTTGCCTTAAAAGTAGTGGAGGGGGGGAACTCGATGGGTCAGATTAGGTGCCCGTTTTGGCTAGAGCTTCAACATTTAGCTTTAATATTTTGAAAAGACTCTAATGACATCGTTTAGTTTTGGCATTTTAAAAGTTAATTTGCACCATAAAAAAATTATCCAAAGTGCTAACACAAATTTAAAATATATTCCCAAACAAGGCCTAGGTCATCAAAGAAGACCATATGGCAAACGGGAGGTAGATGGGTAAAATTAGCTATTTCATCATAGAAGAGGAGGGTTTAAGGGAAATGGGAGAGGGGGGGTCGAATCAAGTAGCACGAGAAGAGAAGGCAGAGAGAATAGGTGGGTGGCTTGGGTTTTTGTGGATGCTTGCCAACAGAAAATAATAGAGAGAAGAGGTGGAAATTTTGGGATTTATGAGGTTTTTGTTTACATAGTAATGCCACATCAACAATACATCAAACCTTGACAGAGTTAGAGTTTGTTGCACACACCCTCCACAGACCCTACCTCCGTGCGATTTTACTAGGTTGTTTCCTTTTTCGTCCTTCCAAAAAAACTAATGTAAAGAATTTGTGGCTAAGAAAATCTTTCCCAGGTTAACCAATTCTAACCATGCCTTTTTCACTTTTCAACACTTTTCTCAAGTAAAAGTGAGTAGTAGTAGTAGTAGAAAATAATAATAATAATAATAATAATAACTATAAATAAAATAATATTGACCACATCACACAACTACCATTATTAAGTAACACACTATGCTTTCAGCAAAATTTAAAAAAATTGAAAAATCTTACTTTGTTTTGTCAGTTTCACCCCAGCAGAATTGACAAGCAACAAGTCCAAGCAATATAGATTGTGCTCCTCAAGAACCTGAAATCGAGAATATGTTCAAAACAAATTTCCTCAACTAAGGCATCCTACACTTGTAATTTGTTTGTAAGATTAATACCACCAGAGCAAAACTTTGGCCTACCTTATGCAATTCAGTAAAGTTTCTCCGAGATATCATAAATTTCCTATCTTCTTCCATTTGCTTATTGAATGTTCCAAGGATATCTTCATCCTGTGTATAACAAAATAACTTACGGTTCAAAATTCTTTTCCCTTTAAACAGAAGGGTTATATTTGAGAACAAAGATTTAATTAATTTCCCTTTTAAATTGAATAGCTATACTTCAGAAACTACTGGTGAAATAATAATGGAGAATATACTATAGCTATGAATAATTCCCTCGAATGAAGGGAATGTCTTACAAGAAATAAGGGAGGATTAAAAGACAGCTTAGAATCTCAAAAAAGAAACTTAACAGCATGCATACAAATAAACGTACACATATAAACGCATGTGCATACGCATTCATGTGTGAATGCATATACAAATACACACATGAATGCATATACTAATGTCTATACAAGTATACATAACACAACAACCTCAGTGTGCTCGTATAAGTGGGGTCTTGGCAGGGCAAGATGTATGCAAACCTTGTCTTTATGATGGACCCTCGGCTAAAAAGAAACCAAAGGGGTAAGACCACAGAAGGTATGAAAGAAAGAAGCAAAAAAGTACACCACAAAATGAGATACCCTATTACTCTGTAAGTGAACCACCACATCTATACTAAATTAATCTAGAAATCAATGCCGCCTAAACGGAGGGTTGTATTTGTAATTTCGTGTACTCCCTACCGACCTCATCACACACATCCTCCCATCCTCTTTTTCACTCGAAGTGTAGCAAACAATTACATCTTCTACTTGGCCTTTTAAGTCCATTGCAACTTGTAAAGTTTATAAAAGTAGGCACGAAAGTGCAGAGAACAATAATGTCTTCTAATTGGCCTCTTTTGTGTGAGGAAATTAAAAGGCCAATTAGAAAACATTATTGTTCTCTCCACTTTAATGCATTCTTTTATGTGCTTTGTAGTGTACAATTACACAATTTAATAGTTGAAAAACATGTAAAAGACGTTATTGTTATATGCACCTAATGCCTCCTTTAAATGCACTTGATAGTTTACGCCATTGTTCAAAAGGTTTAAATCCCTCTATCGCTAGATCACTAAAATTTCTAGCGCACAAAATTTCCAATGTTTCTTTCAAGCCAAGGCTTATGTTTCCTGTGTTCAAGCAATTCCTTAGCACATAATTAATTTTAGTGTGCCTATTAATATGGTCGGACATATTAGAGGCAATGAAAGAGACCAAAATAGTCTAGCTCATTCTCTCTGTATCTTAGCTCTTTCTAATTTTTGCTCTCTTGTCTTCGAGAATCTCTTCTCCATAGCGAAGAGTCTCAAAAATTGTAACATCAACAACCTAGTAGAATTTTACGAGAGTAGGATCTAGGGAGGGTGTGTGTACATTGGCCTTACCCCTACTCGAAAGTAGAGAGGTTGTTTCCAAGATACCCCCAACTCGAGTAACACAGAAAGTACAGACATAGAAAACGAAACATAGAGCAAGATATAGATAGAAAAAAGCAAGAAGCACCAAAACTTTCTCCAAAACAATAACACAGAAAGCATAGGCATAGAAAAAGGAAAGGACTTCCAAGTCAATTTTATTGAATATTCTAGATCATTTCTCTCTATACCTTAGCTCTTTCTCATTTTCTCTCTCTTGATTGTTACAACTGTCTTCGAGAATCTCTTTTCTATAGCGACAACAACCTAGTAGAATCCCACATAAGTAGGGTCTCGGGAGGGTGTGTGTAGACAGATCTTACCCTTACTCGAAAGTAAAGATGATGTTTCCAAGAGACCCCACGCTCAAGTAACACAGAAAGCACAGGAATAGAAAAAGAAGCATAGAGCAAGCTATAGATAGAAAAAAACAAGAAGCATAGAGGCAATATTGAGGAGACTTAAGAGTATATTCTACTGGAAGCATGGTTTTAAAAGGCGACCGAGGCGGTGAGGCGGTTGCATTTCGCCTCTGAGGCTTAAGCCTCAGTAGGGACACCTGAGGCGTACGCCTCACAATGTTGAGGCGGTCCGAGGCGGTCTGAGGCGGTAAGGCGTAACCGAGGTGTAAGCCTCACTTTTAATAAGAATTTCAGCAATTATAAGGGTTACTTTTAAAAGGCTATTGGGCCTCTTTTACAAAAACTCTTTTGGGCCAATGCATTATAAAGTTTCTTAAGAAAAACTTATTAAACCTAGTAGATAATTATCACTTCTTTCCAAGACTTTTTGCGTCACCTTTCGTCTCTCCATCTTCAACCGTACTTCTCNACTTCAAAGAATGATGTAACTTTTTTTTGCGTGAACTTTTGTCCATATTTAATATTTATAAGGTTTGGAGATGGATTTGAGACATTTGTGTTTATGTTACTGTGTTTAATCTTTATAATTCTATTTTTTATTTGTGTTTTAAAAATTAAGATAGGGTATCATTTTTTGTAAAATTCAGGAATTATGATTTTATCATTTATTTAACATAAAAATGGATTATGCATTTCGTTTTACCTCGGTGTACATATTTTAGTATTATTTTTTTCATATTGAACTGAGGGCTTACGCCTCGTTCCGCCTCGAGGCTTACGCCTCAAGGCATTTTGCTCCACCGCCTGGAAGGGCATGACGCATGAACAAAGATGCCTCATTTTTCAGACATGCAAATGTAATAATTCAGCTTATCCTGGTCTACTTCAACCATTGCAAATCCCTACTGAAATCTGAAAAATATGACTTCATAGAGGGGTTACATAAACCTAGGGGCAAGGATGTAATTTTAGTGGTGGACAGAATGAGCGAATGCGCTCAT